ATCGGTGCCTATTCCAAAGTCGGTGGTCTCAAGGAATTCTGCGGTCTGGCAGCGCTCGTCCTCGCCATTGACGCCCTCACCCTGGTCACTTTCTACGTCGCAGTTCTGAGCATCATGATTGAGGTAAGTTTCATCTTGATGTTTTGAAGATAGTATGTTGACCGGTCGTTTGTGCCAGGTTCGTCGTATCAAGATGTTCCGCGCCATGTCCCGATCTCGCCGGCCGTCTATGTCGGACATCAAGCCAGCGCTCACGCCTCTCCGGCTCGACCCGCACCATCCGAGCGTGCCCGTTCCGAACCTGTCTTTCCGTCAGCGTGTGTCCGCGACGATACTCGGCGTCAAGGGCTCCTTCCTCCGCGATGATGCCGGCAAGGAGGAGAACCCGGTCGCGCGCCTCAAACTGCTGCTTATCGTCTCCTTCCTTACTCTTCACCTTCTCAACCTCTGCGCACCACTCGCGCCTGTCACGAGCGTCTCAACCCACAACATCGAAGAGATCATCGGCTCGCGCCGTGTGGATCTCACTGCTGCACCCGTCGCTTCGGCACTGAGCGCTCTCGCTGCCGCCCACGCGAACAGTACACGGTCACTTCTCGTCCGCGTCGCGCCGCCCGCGGTGCTCCGCGCGTTGCCACAGCACGAGGAAGGCGCCCTCGAGGGCTTCATGAGCGCCTGGACGCGCCTTGTCGGCGACCCAATTCTGTCCAAGTGGATCGTACTCCTGCTCGGCGTCTCGGTCGCGCTCAATGGCTACCTCCTCAAGGGTATCTCAACCGGAACGGGCTCAACGCGTACCGTACTGTCGCTCCCGAACCAGAACGTGCGCTTCGTGGCCGCTAAGACGGACCCCGCTCCTGCTGCCCCTGCCCCTGCCCCCGCACAGGAGCCGGAACCGGAGCCGAGGCCTGCGGCTACTTTGGTCAAGGAGCCGGAGCAGATCGTCAAGCCCCAGGCGCCCCCGCCGCTTGTACGCCCGATCCCGCAACGGCCCGCCGTAAAGAAGGTGCACTCGGTGAACGGTATCTCGTCGATGCTCGAATCGGTCGACGAGCGGCTCAAGGCATCGTTGGCGGACAAGTCCGACGATGGGTCCTCGGAAGAGGAGGAGAGCAAGGACGGTGAGCGCGTCGGCATGCGGACCCTCGAGGAGTGCATCGATGTGTTCGAGAACGGTCCGAGGCCGGTCAGCGCGGCGCTGGCGACGCTTAACGACGAGGAGGTTATCATGCTCGCTCAGGCAGGCAAGATCCAGGCATATGCACTCGAGAAAGTGCTTGGGGACCTGGAGCGCGCTGTTTTCATTCGGAGGGCTCTTATTTGTGAGTTACAGTACTGTTTCCGGCGTACGCTTGCTGACCTCGATATGTCAGCCCGCGCGAGCATCACCAAGACACTTGAATATTCCGACGTCCCGATGCGAGACTACGATTACTCACGGGTCATGGGCGCATGCTGTGAGAACGTCGTTGGCTATATCCCCCTTCCGCTCGGTATCGCTGGCCCACTCAACATCGACGGCGAGAAGACCCCGATTCCGATGGCCACGGCGGAGGGCACGCTTGTTGCTAGCACGTCCCGCGGTTGCAAGGCGCTCAACGCTGGTGGCGGCGTCCGTACGGTCGTCACGTACGACGGCATGACGCGTGGGCCGGCCATCGACTTCCCGAGTATCGCCTCGGCCGCAGCGGCCAAGGCGTGGATCGAGACGGACGAGGGCTACGGTACGCTGCGCGAGGCGTTCGAGAGCACGAGTCGGTTCGCGAAGTTACAGAGTCTGAAGAGCACGCTCGCCGGGCGGACACTCTTCGTGCGGTTCGCGACGAGGACAGGCGACGCGATGGGCATGAACATGATCTCGAAGGGCACGGAGAAGGCGCTCGAGGCCCTCCAGCATCGGTTCCCGGAGATGATCATTCTTGCGCTGAGCGGGAACTACTGCACGGACAAGAAGCCGGCCGCGATCAACTGGATCGAGGGTCGCGGGAAGAGCGTCGTAGCCGAGGCCGTCGTACCGGGTTCTGTCGTTAAGAGCGTGCTCAAGACCACCGTCGCGGCTATCTGCAACCTCAACGTGAAGAAGAACCTTGTCGGGAGCGCAATGGCGGGATCCATCGGTGGTTTTAACGCGCATGCGGCGAACATCCTCACCGCGGTCTTCCTCGCAACTGGTCAGGACCCTGCGCAGAATGTCGAAAGCTCGAACTGCATGACGCTCATGGAACCGTGCGTCCTCTCCTTTTTTATGATCCGTCGCGTTTGCTTACGTCAACGCGTGTGCAGGACGAACAACGGCGAGGATCTTCTCATGACAGTTACCATGCCCAGCATCGAAGTCGGCACCGTCGGCGGTGGAACCGTTCTGGCACCCCAGCAGTCCATCCTCGAGATGCTCGGCATCAAGGGCGCACATCCGACACAACCCGGCCAAAACGCACAACGGCTTGCGCGCATCGTCGCCTCGGCTGTTATGGCGGGGGAGCTTTCGCTGATCTCCGCCCTTGCCGCTGGCCACCTCGTCCGGGCACATCTGGCGCACAACCGGAGCCAAGCAGGGACGCCGAGTGTCAGTAGGCCGATGTCGCCCGGCACACGAACGCCCGACTGGGTACCGAGCTCGACGCCTGGAGAGCGTGCGGCGACGAGAGCGACGATCGGTGCGCTCGACGCGAGCAGGAGCACGATCTCGCTGGCTGGGTATTCGATTGGCTCGTCAGACACGCCCGCACCTTGAGCGTACGGGAATTGTTTTGGATTCTGCACACACATATATATACTCACACACACACACACATCTTCCGCTCGCTTTCTGCTTGCTTGCTATTGAAGGTCAGATAGAGTGATCCATGCTTTGCACGTATTTTTATCACGGTGCGATGCGTCCGTGCACATTGTAGCAGCTTTCTTTATACCTACTTTAGTCCCCCTCTAGTGGATCCTGGCGCGAGGTATACGGTTGTCGTTACAGCCTGTGATGGTGTTGGACAGAGGAGGTGGGCGGAAGGAGGGCGGATGAATATAAGAAATTGAAACATACTTTGGTGCGAGTTGGGAACTGGATAAGGAGACGGACGAACACCCGCTAGAAAGGCTTGACCGCGATCTTGACCGCGGTGCGACTGTTCATCTTATCAAGTGCAGATTGGAACGTGTCCAGAGTGTAGACGTCCGTGACCTGCCCAAGGAAGGTGAATGCGAGCCCGCGAGCTTTTGCGACAAGGAGTGCAACCCCCGTCGGACGAATGGACGTGCCACTCACCATGCCTTTGACGCTGATCTTGCCACTCTCGAGGTATGCAATTGCGCGCGGGAAGCAGTACATCTGTGCAAACGAGCCGATGATCTGCGCAACATATCAACCCCGTCAGTCCTGCGGTGCTTTGGCTTGCAGAAGAACGGAGACCCGGAAACAGAAGGGAGCACGCACGCGAATCTCATTCTGGAAGATATCGACAGGCGCCCAGTGCACACGAGCGCTGTTGGCATACACGCCGTAGGTCATGAGCGTGCCTCCACGCCGAACATACTTGATCGCGTCGTGTGCGACGGACTCTGAGCCTGTCGCTTCAACCTTGGGACATTCACTCGACTTTACTCTTGTGAAGGCGGAATAAGCACATACTACGACGTCGAACCCATATGGGTTAACTTCTTTCAGTTTCGCCCACTGTGCATCTGCATCCCCCCTGTCAAGAGCCAAGATCTCGTCGCCCGCGCCCAGCCTGCTCGCGAGATCCGTCTTGATGCCCTTGTTAGCAGCTACTACGACGCGCGCGGCGCCGTTGAGCCTGAGTAATTGCGCGAGCACGAGACCTGTCGGACCCGCCCCGAGGACTAATACGTCCGCACCCGGTGTTATGTAGGGCGCGAGCTTGTCCATGCCATGGACTGCACAGGCGGTCGGCTCGACGAGCGTAGCTTCCTCGTCAGTGAGGGAAGTTATCTTGTACACCTTCTTCGCTTGGCTGCAACAAGAATTAAGAGAACGAAAGCAGGACTGGTACAGGGAAAGGGCTTTACAATGTCACGTATTCGGCGAAGCCACCAGCGAGGTTGCAGCCCTTTCCGAGATAGTTTTCACACAGGAGTGGCTGACCCCTGCGACAGAAGTAACAGCTTTCACACTGTGTATCGACAGCGTTATCGGGCCAATTCGGTAAGCGTGAGATGCATGCTCTGGCTCTTACCACTACGCTAGGATCCGCGACCACTCGATCACCGATAGCGAAGCCGTTAGTGCTTGGACCAAGAGCCGCTATCGTTCCGGCGACTTCATGGCCGGGGATGAGCTAGAAGGCTATCAGCAGACGAAAGAAGAAGTGGTGCCACAGAAGTCTTGCTGGGAATGCTGCAATAAATTCGCCTTCATGAATGTGGCCATCCGTGCCGCAGATGCCTGGTTTGGCGGTAAGCGAAAGTTCGCACAAGAAGCGCACTCTATCGTACCGCATGCAGAGACTGTTTTTAAAATTAGCCAAATCGGATTGGACAGCTGCTAGCAAAAAGATCGAGTCTACGATACCTTTGATGAGTACCTCGGTGTCTCCCACCTGTGGCGTCGGCACATCCAGGATCTCAAAATCCCGTGGCTAGCAAGATGGGGAATAATAGGACACAAGACTCCATGTCGGCCCTGGTTATCTACGCACGGCATGATAATGAACGGCTCTCATAGTCTGCGGAATCGTAACCGGTTCTTGGGAAGACATTGTTGGCCTTCTGGTATCGATAAACAATAGCGAGAGATCCTGTAGCCACAAGCCGCTGTTTATGTAGGGGGATTGAGGATGCGGGCCGGTAGACCGGAGGCCGCCTCGTGATGGAGATACTTAGTTGAGACAACTAATCGATAACGAAGGGGCCGTATTAGTACGAGTTCCAGTGGACCCAGGTGGGATCAGGCAAGGTACATGGTCTCGGACGTGGATTGGCTCGGACGCCAAAATCTACCACCAATTTTTGCCGGAGCTGGGCACGGTTTAATTAAACAATAATCTATAGCCTGCCTAGCTCAATCGGATAGAGCGTCAGACTCTTAAGGCGGGCTCACATCCTGAGACAATCTGAAGGCTGCCGGTTCGACCCCGGCGGTGGGCTAGTGGTTTTTTCCGACCTGATTGGTTGGGCTCTGGCACTTGTGCGGCTGCAGTCAGCGACCTTGTCTGTCGACCCGGGAACTAGTACGGTACGAAGCTGCCCTGCCGATCATCGTTTCCTGTTATCGACTGCGTGACATCGGCCTACCGATCGTGCGTCACTGAGTGCATCTGTTGGCCTGGGGTATTGACGTCACAATGAAGCAACATTGAATACTGAGAGTGCAGCGGCATCTTCGAGTGAATCTCCACGGCCTCCTGGTCCTCTGTATTCTTCATTTCCGATCTAAACCACAGCCGTAGGATGCCCTCCGCATTGATTCTTATCGCCGATGGGACAGAGGAGATGGAGTTGTGCGTCTTCCCAGAACACAATATTATATCCATCGGCTTGTAGTCCTGATCGTTGCATGCAGTACCATCACGTACGACACACTTGTCCGCGCTGGCGTCAAGTGCACGTCCGCTTTCGTCGAGCCCCAGGGCAGGAAGTCAGAAAACACGTACGCGACCTGTTCACGCGGCGTGCGTATCGTGCCAGATATGCCGGAAGCTGACATCCCTCTGGATGCTGCGGTACATACGTCCAAAGTGCTGGTCTACCCGATGAAAGCTGTCTGATAGTGTTGGCATAGGACGTGTTTGACGCGATAGTCGTACCCGGTGGCGCCAAGGGTGCAGAGACCATATCTCAGAAGCCTACCATTCAGGCACTTGTGCGCGACTTTTACGGTAAGAAGAAAGTCGTTAGCATGATCTGTGCCGGTGTGTCTTCTTTTCCTCGTTCATACGGTGCGTTCGAACAGCGGCGGGCCGTCAGGCTCGATCGCTGCACTGGAATCTGGCCTGCCCTTTCAGCCCCTCACCTCGCATCCATCTGTAAAGGAACAGCTCGACCGCAGTACGGCCTTCCACCCGCCCTCTACCCGCACCCATTCACCTGCTCTTGACGACAGAATATGACTACCGCGAGGATCCCGTCATCGTGTCCAGTAACCTCATCACAAGGTACGCGCTTTCCGCTTCAAATCGGAGGAACTAGCCTCCAAACCTAACCATCCATTACCCGTGGCAGCCGTGGCCCTGGTACCGCGTTCCCATTCGCGCTTACGATCGTCGAGATGCTTTGCGGGCCGGAGAAGCGCAAAGAGGTCTATGAGCCAATGGTCTTCCCAAAGTAACTGATGATTCCCGGACAGATGGAGATGGTAGTAATGTGCAAGAGTAAGAATACAATGTGTTAAGTGTGTGCGACGAGACGTGTCGTGGTATCATGGCATAAAAAAGCTTGCCCGGGTGGAGACTGATTAGAGAGCTTCAGGGCAACAGACGCCGACGTCTAGTCACTGTCGTAGTGGCGCGGCGCCCGCGCAGTGAAACGGATGTTGGCAAGTTGTAAGCTGATCACACCGGCTGATCGAAGATTTTGTTTGCGCTGCTGACTTTAGTTACTGAAGTTGAGTCGGGAAGCTAAGGAGAGTTACGTTTCTGTTACATAGTCAAGGCCCGGTCGTGCGAGAACGTACTGGCTGTCCGATCGAAGAGCAGTCTCGGCTCTGGCCCTCGATGTCTTCCAGGATGATCGTCGTGTCTGCCGGAAAGGGCGACGGACTAGGCACGCACGATGGTCGCACTTGCTGCGCAAGCTGGAAAGTACGGTTCGAATTCCTACGCCGCGCCGTTGGTAAGTCCTCTGGCGGAAAGGGAGCAGGAAGGACCCACAGCGTGACGAGCAAGGATATCACATACAGTTTTCCCAGAATATTCTGGGTCGGAGTAGCCCAGCCTACCTTCGCAGAATCCGAAGGCTCAGACTGATACCGACGATCAGCTCGGAACGCGGGCAGCAGAAGATAACATACGCCGGCTCCATAAGTGGATGTGATATAAACAACCAGGGCTGCGATCGCGTCCATCGTAGGTGGAAGTGCTGACTCCCAAGCAACTATCATCAAGCGTGTGACGAACTGACCACGGCGCAATGGGCATCAGTGGTGGTGAAGAGCAGACAAGAACGTACGCGTCTGGCCTGGTCGTTGTACGTGGAACGGAAAGAGCGGAGTAGGAATGTAAACACTGTGTGATGGATGGTCAGTCCAGTCGGCAGCGGCGGGACAGAGCGACGTACGTATAGAGGATAGTGCGATATCAAGGCCTATACGTTCAGAAAGCTTAGCGGAGTAACAGTATGCCATGTAGAGGTGGCTTACCAATCTGAATAGCCAAGGAACAAACGACTGCGCAGGATATCAGTTCCGGGGCAAGCAAAAACGTAGAGCGAAAAACGTAGAACGTAACGCACTCGCGGGGACGGGAGCAGGGTTATAAGTACCGATCCGCGAGTAGTAGGTAACACCCGCGTAGATGTGCACAACGACGGCGGCGATGATCCCCATGGACAGCAGGAGCTGAATGGTAAATCCTGAGTTTTGTCTCAGGCATAAGTGGTGGGCAGGGGTGCGCACCGGAATCAGCGGCTTGCGCTTTAGGATCTGGTGAAGAAGTGACAAAGGAAATAAGACGAGAGGACAGACAGCAACGGGTCGGCACGCACTAGATAACATCTCCATGTGTACAAGGCCTGGACAGGTGCGCTCAAGATAATAGTCTAGACGGGTGCCTTTGAGTTGCCAGAACATAAGATGCAGCAGTAAGACCACGCACAAACACAGGCACTAGGGCCGGATACCAGCCCCAGCCCCGCTGCGCGAACGTCACAGATTCAGCTTCAGCCGAGCCAGGTTTCGAAGCGGGCCACGCACTCTCAAAACCACGAATTCCCCGTCGACAAGCATCTTCCAGGCGGTGAGGAACTCACATGTCGTCTGGACACTGTACGGCGCCCGTCAGCTCCAATCACGTAGATATAAAGCGCGCACACGCACAAACTGAAGAACGACACGAACGCGACGCACGAGTGTACGAGAGCGGGGTACGCATCGGCGCTGCCGTAGAAAAGGATGAGCTGGGAGACAATGAAGCTTGTTTCGAGCATCTCGAGGCATATTGCGAGATAGTACCCGCCAAGGAAAGCCGTGGGGGTCTGGGTGATGTCGGAGGACACGACCAGGAAAGCCGACATGCCTCCGCCCAAGAACGTGATGGCATGAAGACTGGGTAGCCAGCAGTCGGGGGCGGGGGTCGGGCGCGATGCGAACGGGGCCGGAAAGCTTATTTAAGTGGCACGCGCGATGTTAGCTAGAGGCGCTCGGCTACAATGGCTGGAAGAGACGGCTATCAAAATATAGATCTCGATGAGAGGCTCATGGAGGAGAGGCATCATCTCGGTTTACCACACACTGGTCTCCAGGCGGGCGGAAAAAATCCGGTCGGCGCAGTGCGGCGCATAAGATCACTTAACCCCTCGTGCGCTACGCCCCTCCTTCCGACGAGACAGGAATGAAACTTCAGAGCGCGTCTAGGAGCATCTGCGTGAATGTGGCCGGCGAAAAGCGTGCACGGAGAGCAAGGGCCGTCTCCTATAGGAAGGAGACCTCGCCACAAGTCCGGGGGCCGCGCGTCGTGGACACACATGAGGTAAGTGCGGCCCTGCCACGATTCCAAGATGACGTACCCGTGCGATCTACCGGCACCGGCCCAAGCCGAAAGTAGTTACGAGTCTATGAGGCAGCTCAGCGCGATCTAGCGTACAGCGCACGCTGGACGGCGATTCGACCGCGAGTCGGCCGCGATTCGGAGCTAGCGAGCAGTGCACGCGCTGGGCAGGGCCTGGTGCGGGCATCGGTCCTCTGGTTGCCCATCACCTGTGTGCGCAGCGAGCGCGCGGCAGCGCCAAGGGGTCTGCGTTGTCCAGGAGCAGAGGCCACCGGCTAGCCGGGAAGTAGCGATGTGTGTCACTAGTGCTAGTACTGCCGGCGGCACCGCCCTTGACACGCTTATACCGCGTGTCTGGGTGGCAACGGCACCGAGTGAGTGCTGGAGACCAACGTAAGGGCGGAAAGAGAGCCGAGACCGTGTGAGGACTGACGTTCTCACTGCTGTGAGAAATTGGGCGCGCTGGTACCACGCCATCTCTCACGAGCTCACCAGACATGCTTGACGACGGACAACATGTTGACAGACGTAGAAAATGACAAGGCGTTTCGCCTATAGCTACAGCAAGAATAGACACAATGACAAAGGAAAACGGTCGAGGCCTACATCAGGACTTGACCACCGCAGGGGTCGAACCTGCAATCTCCTGATTACATTATCGTAGTCAGACGCGATGCCATTTCGCCAGGCGGCCATACTTTCTTCGATCTTCATCTTTGAATGTCTCACCTCGCCTATCAACACCCCATACTTATAGTATTAAGCCCGCGTACACCCAACAATTCTACGATAATAGAACAGACACATATCGTAATCTAGTCGTACACCGAAGAACTCTACGCACAATCGTCCGGTCCGTCCGTCCACCCGAGCGGTCCTGCTTGAGGCAGCGCGACACGAGCGCTTTAGAACGGGTGTGCGAACGCGCTCGACGGCTCAATCGGGCTCATCCAGCTCTGCGGCCTGCTCGTCGGTGTCGCCGGCGTCGTCGTATCATCGGGTGGTAGGGGCCAGGTCGGGGCGAGGTGATATAAAGGAGCAAATAAGGAGATCCGGGTGCATGTTCCGCGGCGCGTTTTGCATGGCGGGGGTACGAGAGAGGCAGATGTGGCAAGGGCGCGGTGTAGAGTAACGGCGTGTGTGAGGCATGTGCATGTGTGGATAGTAATGTGAGCAAAAGATGCGTGAGCGACGAATCGTGAGATGCGTGCGAGACAGAGAGACGGAAAACAGAGGATGCGGAGCGGGGGAACGGGAGAAAAGAATCATCTACCAATTCCAGTCATCGTCGAACGACTCGTCCCTCACCGGCGCTGTCGACGCAGGTCTCGGCGTCGGCGTCGGCGAGGGCTGGAGAGGTTTGAGCGCCGGCGCGGCGAGCACCTCTTCGTCCTCGTCGAGCAGGGACGGGCCCGTACGCTCCATCGCCGGGCTCGGACTCATGCT